GAGAGAGAGAGAGAGAGAGAGAGAGAGAGAGAGAGAGAGAGAGAGAGAGAGAGAGAGAGAGAGAGAGAGAGAGAGAGAGAGAGAGAGAGAGAGAGAGAGAGAGAGAGAGAGAGAGAGAGAGAGAGAGAGAGAGAGAGAGAGAGAGAGAGAGAGAGAGAGAGAGAGAGAGAGAGAGAGAGAGAGAGAGAGAGAGAGAGAGAGAGAGAGAGAGAGAGAGAGAGAGAGAGAGAGAGAGAGAGAGAGAGAGAGAGAGAGAGAGAGAGAGAGAGAGAGAGAGAGAGAGAGAGAGAGAGAGAGAGAGAGAGAGAGAGAGAGAGAGAGAGAGAGAGAGAGAGAGAGAGAGAGAGAGAGAGAGAGAGAGAGAGAGAGAGAGAGAGAGAGAGAGAGAGAGAGAGAGAGAGAGAGAGAGAGAGAGAGAGAGAGAGAGAGAGAGAGAGAGAGAGAGAGAGAGAGAGAGAGAGAGAGAGAGAGAGAGAGAGAGAGAGAGAGAGAGAGAGAGAGAGAGAGAGAGAGAGAGAGAGAGAGAGAGAGAGAGAGAGAGAGAGAGAGAGAGAGAGAGAGAGAGAGAGAGAGAGAGAGAGAGAGAGAGAGAGAGAGAGAGAGAGAGAGAGAGAGAGAGAGAGAGAGAGAGAGAGAGAGAGAGAGAGAGAGAGAGAGAGAGAGAGAGAGAGAGAGAGAGAGAGAGAGAGAGAGAGAGAGAGAGAGAGAGAGAGAGAGAGAGAGAGAGAGAGAGAGAGAGAGAGAGAGAGAGAGAGAGAGAGAGAGAGAGAGAGAGAGAGAGAGAGAGAGAGAGAGAGAGAGAGAGAGAGAGAGAGAGAGAGAGAGAGAGAGAGAGAGAGAGAGAGAGAGAGAGAGAGAGAGAGAGAGAGAGAGAGAGAGAGAGAGAGAGAGAGAGAGAGAGAGAGAGAGAGAGAGAGAGAGAGAGAGAGAGAGAGAGAGAGAGAGAGAGAGAGAGAGAGAGAGAGAGAGAGAGAGAGAGAGAGAGAGAGAGAGAGAGAGAGAGAGAGAGAGAGAGAGAGAGAGAGAGAGATTCTCAATATTTTTTTCATTTATTTACTTTTTCTATTAGTATTATCATTTCTTATTTACTCTTTAATTACTCAGTGATGTTCCTTATTTTTTCCTGATTGTAGAATTAGAGTTAATTAAGGGAATGAACGATATGTTATGGAAAACAATAGACGGTAAGCAACAACATGCATCTTACTTGAAATTTATCGTTTCTATTCATTTCGTTTCGTTTACTTAATTGTTGCTTCAGGTGTCCGGAGTTTTTTTTTCCGTTCGAAGTATTTTTTTATCGTATTATTTTTATTCACACACACGCGCACACACACACACACACACACACACACACACACACACACACACACACACACACACACACACACACACACACACACACACACACACACACACACACACACACGCACACACACACACACACACACACACACACACACACACACACACACACACACCTAGAGAGAAAACGAATGAAAGCTAAACAGACAGAAAAAAAAAACGATCGAGAGAGACAAAAAGACAGAACGAGCAAGTCCCATCCCTCCCCCCCCCTCGGCGTAATTACGTGACTAACAATAAAATGCCACCTTCTGTCTCTTTCCGGTGTTGACATCCAACTGACTTTTATCACCTTAGAACTCTTTATCTCTTTATCTCTTCAACGTAAATTCATTTCTTGACCCTAGATTGTCGTTATCTCTTGTTATCATTATCTGTGTCTTTACCCGTGATTCTGTGTCGTTATTTCAGTAATATTAAGTAGGGGGTAGGATGTGGGACCTTTTTACTAACTGTTGTTTACGCGTTTCTGGTTGTAACAGGATTTAAGACCTGTTATCAGTGGAAAATATGATGGGAGAGGGAGGGAGGGAGAGAGGGAGAGGGAGAGGGAGAGGGAGAGGGAGAGGGAGAGGGAGAGGGAGAGGGAGAGGGAGGAGGGAGAGAGAGAGAGTGAGGGTGAAAGTGAAGAGAGAGAGAGAGAGAGAGAGAGAGAGAGAGAGAGAGAGAGAGAGAGAGAGAGAGAGAGAGAGAGAGAGAGAGTAAGAGTGTAAGAGTAAGAGTGAGAGTGAGAGACAGATAGATAGATGGATAGAGAGTGAGAAAGAGAGAGAGAGATAAAGAGAATGAGAGAGAGAAACAGACAAACAGACTGACAGAAAAC